TAGCACTTTTTATAAGATGCTTTCACATGTCATCTGGGTAGGTGGTAGTATTTTATGGAGGGAGAAACATGCTCAAGCCCAGAGTCTCAGCTGTCAAATCATACTTTCTTCCCAGAACACTGTTCTTCCTTCTAAAACAAATAAAGTGAAACCTAAAGCAAATCCATTTGAATCCCGGTACTACTCCCCCAGGATTCCAGGAACATTAAAAAAGAAGCTAATGAACCAGGCTCAGTGGCTCAGTCTGTAATCTCATGCCTTTGGGAGGCTGAGGTGAGTGGATTGCCTGAGCCCACGAGTTCGAGACCCGCCTGGGCAACTTGGCGAGACTTCATCTCTACAATAAATAAAAAATGAGCCAGTCATGGTAGTGCACGCCTGTAGTTCCAGCTACTTGGAAGGCTGAGGCAGAAGGATCGCCGGAGCCCAGCAGGTCGAGGCTGCCATGGTCGGGAGTGGCCACTGCACTCCAGTCTGAGTGAGACTCCAACTCCAAAAAAAAAAAAAAAAGAAGCTAATGCTAGAAAATAAGATACATAAGTATAATAAGTTGTAAAAAAACAACTTTTGTGGAAGTAAAGGACAAATCCAAACTAGAATAGGTTAATTTTTCCATAAAGTAATAAGGGAACTCTTAAACAACAAAAAACATGTTGACAAGAGTAAAAAACGAGGAATCATTGGTAAGAAATTAAGAACATAGCTGGAAACAGTAAATATAACTTTTAAGAGCATTTTTCTTTATTCATACATTCATTCAGCAAATATTGTTTGAACACTTAGTATGTCTTGACATGGTGCTAGATGCTAGGGTTACAGCAAGGAACAATATGTAGACATGGCCTCTACCTCCCTGGATCTTCCAGACTTATAGGGGTAACACATTAAAAAGTGTATAAATTCTTAATTGTAAATTCTGTCAGGTGCCATGATGAAGAAATAGAGTGCCTTATGAATGCCTAACAGAGGTCCGTAACTTAGTGCAGGCAATCATGGAAGGGTTTACTTATTAAATCCAGATTTACCAAGTATTTAGTCCTGTATGATGTGACCAAGTGCCCCAACTCTGTCCTTATATGTTGACCCGTGGACATGTACCCTTTCCACTTTCTTTGTTTGTTTGCTTTTTTGAGTTGGAGTTTCATTCTGTCACCCAGACTGGTGCAGTGGCCGCTCCCGGCCACCGCAGCCTCGACCTGCTGGGCTCCAGCGATCCTTTCGCCTCAGCCTTCCGAGTAGCTGGAATTACAGGCGCGCGCTACCACGCCTGGCTTATTTTTTTATTTTATTGTAGAGATGAGGTCTCGCCTGCCCAAGCGGGTCTCGAACCCGCAGGCTCAGGCAATCCACTTACCTCAGCCTCCCAAAGGTGCGGGATTACAGGCTGAGCCACCGAGCCCAGACCCTTTCCACTTTTAACCCAGGCCCAATATGGGCCCAAACTTGTTCTCTTGGTTTTTCTTTGCATAGCTGAAACAGACTGGTCATTGGAAAAAAAAAAGTTTTTACTAAATACCAAACAACAAAAGGAAAATGATATTGACACTAGTGTTAAGATGACCTCACCTTAAGAACAGTTGTACTGATTATGATTTACTTTATTATTTTTTGTTTTTAAAGACAAGGTCTTGCTCTTGCTCTGTCACCTAGGCTAGAGTGTAGTGGCATGATCATAGCTCACTGTAACCTCAAGCTCCTGGGCTCAAGGGATACTCCCACCTTAGCCTCCCAAATAACTTGGACTACAGGTATGCTCCACCTTGCCAGGCTAACATTTTATTTTATTAGGGAGGAGGTGTCTCACTGTGTTGCCTAGACTGGTCTTGAACTCCTGACCTCAAGCAGTCCTCCTGCCTTGGCTTCCCAAAGGACTGGGATTACAGGTGTGAGCCACTGCACACGACCATGATTAGTCTTAAATGTCCAGTTTGCTTTGCTTAGAACTTAAAGTAAGAGATGATGAGTGAGTGAATGGCAATGAGGGGGAAGATATAGTGAACTTACTTATTTAGCAAAATTTTATTGAACATCCTATGTGCCAGGAACTGCACTAGGCTCTGGGGATAGTGTAGTAAAGGAAAACACTGTTAAATTAGGATATCCTTTCTATTCTGATAATACCCTGACCCCAAACCATCTTTTTTTCTTTGTCTTTTTTTAACCCAATAAGTCTTGTAAATCCTGTATTAGACAAGAACTTTGGCAGGATCCAGCATAGTCAGCAGATAATAACATACACCAGCTAAGTTAGATCTGATGGAGAGGTTGCCTGGCTTAGTATTCCACCCTAAAACGAAGGATCAGAGAAACAAAGGACTAGTAATTGATGCGATTTCCTTCTTTGCCAATAAACAGACCCCTCTTCTGATTTTAGATTTGTAGCATAAGTGTACAATTTGATGGAACTTTTCAAGAGGAAGGAGTGGTTAGGAATGATAGTTATAACCATCTCTAATTTTTCTAGCTACCTTGAAAGTCATTCTGTGACAAACTAGCTTCTAATGTACCTTAATCATCCTTGACACCTTCCTTTTTGTTACTTTTCCTCTGTCCTCAATTAATCACCATTTCTTGTCTGTCCTACTCTAATAACCCCCTGAAATGCAACTAAGCTCACTGTTTAGTTCAGCTGACTTTTTTTTTTCCATAACAAGACCATCTCCATAAAAGACAGGAATGGTTTTGCATTCTAGCATTATCTTGCATTGTTTCATCAAAAGGACCAGTCTCAAACGGTTCGCAGAATGGTTACTTTGAGTAACTCTAGTCTAAGCTGCTGTCATATCCCCGGGTTGTTAGGGAGGTCTTTCTGAATCACATGCTAGCCGAAGGGAATTTTTTGTTTTTGTTTTTTTTTGAGTTGGAGTCTCACTCTGTCACCCAGACTGGAGTGCAGTGGCCGCTCCCGGCCACCGCAGCCTCAACCTGCTGGGCTCCGGCGATCCTTCCGCCTCAGCCTTCTGAGTAGCCGGAATTACAGGCATGCGCTACCACGCCCGGCTGATTTTTTGATTTATTGTAGAGATGAGGTCTCGCTGCCCAGGCGGGTCTGGAACCCGCGGGCTCAGGCAATCCACCCACCTCAGCCTCCCAAAGGCACGGGATTACAGGCTGAGACACCGAGCCCGGCCGGAATTTTTTTTTAATGCAAATATAACATTATTGTCCTACTGAAACCCTTTAGTTAGCTTCACCTGCATCTCAGGATAAAATCCAAAATCCTAGGGAGTGCCTGTCTCAGCACGTTTGGGGAAGCAGCATTGTAGAGTCGTATTTCCCAGCGTGTGATTTTTAGATGCTACAGAGACATAACACAAAATAGTATGGAGTCACAATATATTGATGTTTAAATTGTCTTTTAGTCTTATTGTCAAAGCATCCTTTCTGCTTATTACCCCCCTCATGTTTCTTGTGACCGTTCTAAATTTCTTCTGATCTTAAGTTCTCAGTTTTATCCATTTGTCACTCTTCGTACATGGGCTTTGCAGTTCATCAGACCTTGACTTCTGACCCTATACCTACGGCTTATGTTAAATCATTTAACTTTTTGGACCTCAGTTTTCTCTTGCTAAATATTTTGTTTTGAAGACTGAATGAGGGCTGGTCGTGGTGGTTTGTGCCTATAATCCTAGCACTTTAAGAGGCTGAGGTGAAAGCATCACTTGAGGCCAGGGGTTTGAGACCAGCCTGAGCAACAGTGAGACATCATCTCTTCAAAAAAATTTAAGAAATTAGCTGGGCACGTTAGGATTATAGGCATAAGCTATGGTTTTGTATTTTTTTTAACCCTTGCCTCTGTCTTGGGGAAGAAGAAAGACTTTCTATATTTTTAACCATTGTATGTCTGCTCTCCACACTTTTCTCTGACTTCAGGCAACCATCATTACTGCTTTTCTTAGGGCTTTTTCAGTCTCTTCCCTGTGCATGGTTTCCCATTTTACAAAAAAAAAAAAAAAAATTCTTCCTTTCAGCAGTCATTGACTTCTGTCCATTTCTTCTCTACTACCCACTCTTCAATTCTTGCAGCCTGGGTCCTTCCCTTCACTGGAGAAGAAATTTGCTGTTTGTCTAGAACAGGCAAGAGTAAGGCAGTAAGAAATGTTACAGATAAGAACTAATTAAGAAAAGGTATTGGGGGAGTTCAGACCAGTTAACCTTTATTTTCTGGGTGAACAGTGGGCAAGTTTATCTGCTGGGAGTTAGGGTATTGAGAGACTGGAAAACCTTTTGACCAGGAAGAAACCAGAAGGACTGATAAAGACCTGTTGAAGTTGGCACTGCTGGCAAGGTGACAAGCTTCTGTCAGAGTGTAGGTGCTACAGTATATTTGTGGATAAGGGAAAATGTCTAATTCATCCTGAGATAAGACTTGACAGGGCTTGTGTAGTGGAAGGACAAGGATATGGGAAGGGAACTGATGCTTGTTAGAACATTGTTGAAGATCACCTATAAGGCAATGGAGGAAGGAACTAGAATACTGACAACTGAGAAGTGCAGGAGTGGAGACCATGACCCACGGAGTTTTGCTTTTGAGGTATTCAGGAGAATTGCCATTCACCCAGTGAAGATTTCTTTAATGTTGCTGTTGTCAACACTTACTAGGAGGAACTATCTAGTGTTCATGTGGTGTATCAGGGGCTTATTGAGTAGCTACCCTGTTTTAAGCAATTTGCCAACCACAGGGGCACAAAAATGGAATAAAACACAATCCCCACCTTTAAGAGCTTATAGTTCATGGGAGAAATCCATATAAACATTTATGGAAACAATACGGAAAGGTCACTTCATCTAGATAGAGGTCCGTGTAGGGCAAATGGAGCAGAGTTGAGAATTGACTCCCTAGAACACCTTGCATGGAGGTGGGGGCAAACTTTTCACCTCTGCTGCCTTGCCTCATAGATTGTGAGCTCCTTGGGCAAGTTTCTTGCACAGTGATCTCTATATTCTAGGAAATCAGTGCCATTTTTTTTTTAGGTTTATTAATATCTCTTTGTCCTCAGGTGGAAGAAGCTGGGCAGGTGTTCCTGCTAATGAAAAAGGATTATCGAATTTCCCGAAATGTTCGCCTGGCTTGGTTCCTCAATCATCTGCATCAAAATGTGCAGGCCACTCCTCAGGAGATGCTGGTAAGGCATAGAGACAGGCAGAATGTGAAGGACTGACCCAGAAGGATCTGTTTTTTAGGAGGGTGCTAGAAACAGGAAGGGAGACTAACTCTGAAGGCTCTCTGTCTGGGAAGGGCAAGTGACACTACTCACAAAATGATGGAAATTTTTAAAATAATTTTTCCGTATAGTGGGGGGAAGAGTACGTGATTGGGTTGAGGGAGGTGGAGCCAGTAGTATGTCATTTTGGGTATAGAAGGTAGATTCTGGGAAGAAAGGGGTGACTCTTCCCTGATCCTTTCTTTTGCTCTCTGTCTTAATTGTCAGCTTCAGTCTGAGCAGGAGTTGGAAGTCCTCAGTGTCCTACCCCCTGGGTGGCAGCCAGAAGAACCAGTGGTCCCAAGGCCATTCCTCCTCGTACCTTCCACCCGGGTCACCTTCCTGGCTTGGCAGTATCGCTTTGTCATTGAGCTGGACCTTAGCCCATCTACTGGCATTGTGGTAAGCAGTTAGAGGGAGACTATGGGAAAAAAGAATAGGGTTGGGGGTGAGGAGGAGAGAGAATGGCCCAGTGGAAGTAAAAAATGGCCCCAACATACCATTGTGAAAAGAAGACAGGCTTATAAAGGAATGGTGTATGTTTATTTTTTTTTCACTCTGTTGCCCAGACTGGAGGGCAGTGGCTCATTCATGGCCCACTGCAGCCTTGACCTGCTGGGCTCAGGTAATCCTTCCACCTCAGCCTTCCAAGTAGCTGGAACTACAGGCATGCGCTACCACACCCGGCTTATTTTTTTATTTATTGTAGAGACAAGGTCTCACCAAGTTGCTCAGGCTAGTCTGGAACCCCTGAGTTCAGACAGTCCTCTTGCCTCAGCCTTTCAAAGTGCTGGGTTTACAGGCTTGAGCCACTGCATCCAGCTGGTGTATGTTTCAAGACAGATCCCATTCCATCTGTGGCACTGTATTTGGAAATGTGATCAACCATGAACTAAGGGTCCTAGTGACCCCTAGAAGCTGCTTGTTTCTGCCCTCTGTGTAGGGCTGCCTTTGAACACCCTTGAGAGATCTTTCTCTGCATTGCCCTCAGGATGATTCCACAGGGGAGATCCTGTTTGATGAAGTTTTCCACGCCCTGTCCCGCTGCCTATGTGGGCTCCTTCGGCCCTTCCGAGTGCCTGGATCTTGCATCGACTTCCAGCCCGAGATCTACGTAACTATTCAGGCCTACTCCTCCATCATTGGCCTGCAGTCCCACCAGGTATTACATCTTGTCTCCATGTTTGCACCCTCAGACCAAAATTCTGATAGTCCACTGACCAAGTCCTTATCCTGTCTCCACTGGTTGGTGCTCAGAGTCTTCAGCTCTGCTGGCTTCTTGAGACTGCCTCCTCATCATCCCCATGAGTCTCTCTCCTTGAGGAGAACCAGTTCCTTTGTCCTTAAAGAACCATCCCATAGAGTTTAGTTCAGTTGATGTTGATTGAACAAATACCTTTCTCATTCTCCTGTAAATCTCTTTGGTTCTGGCCACTGGATGTTTATTTTCTGTTTCCCTTCCCCACTTCTTTAGTTCTATCAGGTGGTTTGCTGATTGCTGGCTCCTGGTGGTACCCCCAGGATCCGGTCTTTTGGAATAGTTTTGTGATTCTGAAATATAGCAAATACTCAGAAACATGATTTATTTCAAGGACAGAGGAGGGTCATTTTCTCTGAGGGCCCTGTGAACTGTTGGGTGTAATGCTGACCACACAGATAATTACAGGGCTTATCTAACACCCAGGCAGGCTATCGCAAGACACTCCTTTTGGAGAATGGCCAAATCTGTTGCTGGAATATCTGTTTTTGTCTTAGATAAACATTGGCCCAGTTTCCTCTCATCTGCTTTTAACCATTCTCAACTCATTGGTAGGGGCTTACCCTGAAACTGTCACTGATGGGGATAACTGGCTTTGAGAGACAAGGTGCCAGGAATAGCATCTGAGGGTCTGAAATATACAGCAACACAATGGTGCATTCCCAGATCCCAGGATAGGGACTGCCAGCCCTCTGCCCTAGTTTAAAGTGTTCTCCTAGTATAGCTGTTAGGACTGTTGGTTGTGGGCTGAATCCCCAGACAAGGGCCTCTGGTAGCCAAAGCAGGGAGAACATGGGTGTTAGGTAACCACTCAAAACCGGGTTCAGTTTGGCAAACACTTAATGAAGCCTGATTTATGCCAGGCCTGGGCTAGGTCCTGGAGACACAGATGAATCAAACACTGTCCTTGTCCTGATACGAAGAGTTGAGTTTAGTGGGGGGAGACGGATATTGAAGGAGGTGATTGCGGTTGAATGTGATAAGGGCACTGACAAGTTATGACTCAGGTGCTGAGGGAGCACCTACCTAGGGAGCATCCATCCAAGCCTGGGGCAGCATCAGGGAAGTCTTTCAGATAAAGCAACATGTGAACTGAGTCTTGAAGAAAGAATTGAGGTTAACCATTCAAAAGGGGGAAATGGACTCTCCAACTAGAGGGACCAACAAAAACAAACACATGGCACTGTGAAACTGTGCTCATAATCGCAGACCCACAGGTGTTTTGGGGAACTATGTATTACTCAATTTTGACAGCATAGTTTAAGTGTGGCGAGGCAATGGTAATGAGGAGACTATAGAAATAACTGGAGGACAGTTATGACAGGCCATGAATGTCACACTAAGGACTTTGTGCTTTATTCCATTGGTAAGTTCAGTGCAGTGGTTAAGAACACTGAATCTGGAATCACATTACCTGTGTTTGCTTCTAGGCTGTACTGCTTACTGGCTGTGTGTCCTTAAGCAAGTTACTTAACCTTTCTGTGCATCTGTGTTTTTTCTCCAGAACATTAACTGTACTATATTATATGGAATTGAATTAATACATACCAAGCACTTAGAACAGTGCCTGCCCTTAGAAAACATGCAAACGTTAGCTATTAAAACAGTTAGCAATAGGTATTAGGGAACCATAGAAAGTTTTAAATGGACAGCAACAGGAGCAGATTTGTACACTGGGAAAATCACATTGGTTTGTGGCCAATGTGGAGGATGAATTTGGTGACAAAGTCTGGGTGTGTGGAGAACAAGCAGAAGATTATTGCAGCATGGGAAAGAGGAGGCGGCCTGAACAAAAAAAAGATGTAGTCAGTAAAGCCCCAAGGGCCACTTGTCAGCCCTGAACCAAGCCTCCTCATTTCTCTGTAACTTTCTCAAGATTTTTCCTGCTGCTTAAAAAAAAAGTTAAATCAAAGCCTAGCATGATGGTGCATACTTATAACCCCAACTACACAGGAGACTACAGCATGAGAATTGCTTGAGCCCAGGAATTTGAGACCAGCCTAGGTAACATAGGTAACAAAAAAAAAGTTGAATCACGTTTTTAATACATGCTCATTGTAGGATATTTGCGTTTACATTAAAATATAAACAAAAACAAAACTCACCCATAATACAATACCCAGAAATAACTCCTGTTAACATTTCATGGCATTTCCTTCTAATCTTGTGAGCATGTGTTTATCCTCCCACAGCAACATCCCTTTACCAAAGACGAGCAAACATCAGGTTCATTCCAGGCACACAATTTTATTTGTTGAATGTAAAATATGGGCATTCTTCCATGTCACTGAATATTCTTTGAAAACATGATTTTTAATGGCTGCTTAACTTACTATTTCATCATATGTTATCATGCTATATTTAGCCAGATCCTTGTTGCTGGCCACTTGGGTTGTCCCAGTTTTCACTCTTCTCCATTCTGGGATTACAGGCATGAACCACCATACCCAGCCTCTTCTAGACAATATGGATATGAACATGAGCACCTTTCTCACCTTTTATGGCATCAGCTCCTACTACTTCTCTGATCTGTTTTTCTTCTCACAGGCCTGTAGAGTGGGGCAGTGTCCTGCTTTTCCTCTTCAGCTGGGAGTAGAGAGTAAAAAAGTAGTTGTTCCATGGGGGATAGTGTGGGAAAGAAGCGGGCATATGGGGCAGGTTGCAAGAGTATAATGGGAAAAGAGAGAGGAGAGGTCCCGAGGACCACCACAGGGTCTGCAGGCCTAGATACAGTTTTTGTTTGTTGAGTTGGAGTCTCACTGTTGCCCAAGCTGGAGTACAGTGGCTCACGGCCACCAAAGTTAGTTGCCCAGGCTGGTCTCAAACCCCTGGGTTTAGGCAGTCCTCTCTCCTCTGCCTCCCAAAGTGCTGGGATTACAGGCATGTGCCACCAAGCCCGGCTTTGTTTTTTTGGTTGGAGTCACACTCTGTTGCCCAGGCTGGAGTGCAGTAGCACATTCACAGCCACTGAAGCCTCGACCTGCTAAGCTCAGATAATCCTTCCATGTCAGACTTCCAAATAGCTGGGACTACAGGCGTGCACCACCACATCTGACTAATTTTTTTTATTTATTGTAGAGACAAGGTCTCGCTGTGTTGCCCATGCTGGTCTCAAAGTCCTGGGCTCATGTATTCCTCTCGCTTCCACCTCTCAAAGTGCTGGGATTATAGGCATGAGCCACCGCACCTAGCCAGATACAATTTTTAGGATGGGGGGGCACTTATTTATGTTTGAAATAGAGGGAAAGGAGCCCATGGAGAAAGAATGTTAAGCCGGGCTTGGTGGCTCAGCCTGTAATCCCACGCCTTTGGGAGGCTGAGGTGA